TGTACGAATACTACAAGGAGTGCTCAACCATCCTCGAGGTCAATCCGGATTTCCACTTCATCCCTGAGCATGAACGACCACATGGAGTCAAAGTGTTTTGGTTGAAGGCCAGATTCAACGATTACTGGCAGCCAACACTTCAAGGTGAAGGACCTCATACAGAGAAGCAATACATGGACTTCATCAAGAAGGTCTACAGCATCTGCTGCTACACCAATGCTCAATCCGAAGTTTACGGAACCGACATCATTCCGATGGTATGCCACAACGGCAACATTGATCTCGAGAAGACCGTCCAGAATGTCGAACAGGTTTGCAAATACTTCCACATGTATCCATCCAAGGCGAAACAGATCACCGATCTCATCCTCTGGCAAATCGAGAGAATGAGCAGATCGTTTTCCGGATGTCTACGACATGATCCAAGGCATGGCATCCATAAAGAATGCAGACGACAAGTGGACATGGGTCCTGATGGATCCGTTGAGCTCTATGACGCATTGACCTGCATCACACTTGCCAGGAACTTCATTGGAAATAAGCCAGGACTTCTCTTGATGGCTATGCCGAGCTATGGAAAATCACGTTTCGAAATTGCATTTGCAGAGATGGAGTTCTATGTGAGATGCAACAGCGGACATACACGACAAGTCGAGATTCAATCCTCAAACCCCTGTACTCTGAGCAGCAGAGAGAGCCTCAACACGACGAACCGGACTATGATCTCCCAACGGAATCCATTCCACCAAGTCCGCATCCGTCAAGACCCGAGGCACCTCATGAAGATGAAGGCACAGCTCAGCCCAAGTACAGAATGCGAAGGCCGGCACCACCATCCATTGAAGAAGAGAGAAAAATCAAGCCGTTCGCGAAGAAGCCCATCAAGTTCATGTTCCATGCAACCTATATGGAAATCAGCTCCTTAGCATCATGGAGAACGGGCTCAAATCTGGGAAATCCCAGTCAAACCCTTCGGGGAGAATGCACGTCCACATGGCATGCATCGATGACGTCATCCTTGACGACGATGAGTCAGAAGCAGCACTAACCCATGTGCCAGCAGGAAGAGATGCACTGTTGATCCTTGCATTCCTCAAGGACCAAGACTATGGCATCCGACTCTTCGAAGAGCGAACAGCGTCGACAGATCAAACCATCGAGGCAAGGAACATTGTTGCAGCAATTGAACCTGATGGCAGCATCATGGCGAGCAACAAGTGGATCATGAAGAAGCATCTTAGTTATGAAGATTACGAGATGTACGACACCAAGATCCGTGAATTTGCCGATGCCTTCTTCAATTATGTGAATTCCACCAAGCACAGCAAGGAAAAGGATACTTCCTCAGAGACCAAGAAGCGACGGCATTCCACCGATCAGGACGAAGCTGAAGAGGAGACCATGGAACCCTCCGGGGAAAGATCCGTCAAACCAAAGGTCACCGTGGAATATCACAATTCAGAGAACCTAGACGAGTTCATCCAGGAACTCAAGGGAATCTATCTCGAAACAGATTTGAACAAGAAGGACGCCGAGGAATCGAGGAAGAGCTCGTGGAGACCAATGGGAACCTCCTCCGCTTCATGAACAAGTACAACACGGATCCAAGAAGAGCTCATCCCAAATTGACAGAGTGCGAGAGAGCCTCATTGGCACATGTCGATCCCGATGTCAATCTCGGAGAAGAAGAATTCTACTTCCCTCATCGAGGAGAATGTCCCACCATGGACGAGTACAAGCAAGCACAACCAGGATCTGGCTATCCGATTGAGCTTCCACTTGGATTGAAGAAGCTATAGGTCACATGATGACCCGGAAATCATTCGAGCATATGCCGAATTCCTGGGATCGTTGATGCAGCCGACCAACCGTCCTCCTGTGGACTATCTCAAGATGCATGAGTTCACCTCATCCATAGCGATCAACATGCTTAAATTGAACCATGGAAACCTCACGAGGAATCCAAAGCTGGACAACAGGGAGGTGTACAACATGCCGATGAAGGATCGACCAATCGTGAAGATGATGATGCAGAACAGTGCACACATCTTATGCCTGAATGAAGCAGACGCATTCTTCAGTCCTAATGATGAGAAATCCAGGGAACTCATCAAGACGTTCATCCGATTCGGGTACAAGGGCATCGTGATCAAGCAATGGTCATCCAGACCGATCGCATGCTTTGTCCGCGGCGGACCTTCTGCAAGAGTGGAGCTTCTGGCAAGACACATTTCCACCAAGAGTCAGAATTGGGGAACCACATTCGGAATGTTCAGATGTTTCTTCGGAACCGAAGGAAGTTGCACTGATCCCGAATACGAAATTCCGACCTCGGATTGCTTGGCAACTACGGGACCATCCATGTTTACTGAATCCAAGAAGTACATTGGACCGAGATTGCCAGCACGCACCATTGTCCAAGGACATGGCCGAGACAAGGAGATCGCCGTTCTCCATATCGAGCAGAGTGATGAGTTTCGTGGCATGCTCCCGAAATCATCCAACAAGTCACTCCACGAGTATGAAGTATGACGACCGCCACGGGAAGATCTTCAGAATGAAATCATGCCACTCGTGACTTTGTACCGATGCGATGCGATCACCGGAGACGCCAATAAATCAGCGAATACCTACGGCAAACTCCAGCACGTCTTCAATCCGGCCAACGGTGTCGTGAACACCTCATGAAGGCACAGAGACTGTGGAATGAAACGAAGAATTTGCCACTCGTGGACAGAATGGAGTATGCAATGGAGACTTCGCGCACCCTAAAATCCATTGTCCGTCATCACCTGTACATGAAGTGTGGATCAGGATGTGATCGAACATTCCCAGATACGAACATCCAGCAAGCTTTCCGGAAGGACGGGATGAACGGCATGGAAGATGAACAACTGGAACTCATGCGGAACGATCCAACCAAGGCCATATTCGATTACCAGGTCTCATCCGCAGAGCGCTTTAAGCACGTGAACAATGACATGTTCATGAATGGCTCACAGGACTCCGACTCGCACAGTCCCCTCATGGTTTACATCCGCAGCAAGTCTGCAACCAGGCAACGCAACTCTGAGAGATACCAGGAGTACCTCAAGAAGAAACAAGCCTGGGCCCCGCAGGAGTACAAGGACTACAACAAGCAGTGGGGACATCAGAAGCAGTGGAAGGACTATAGCACCTCGACCTGGAATGATTATGGAGACTATGGCAGTCAATCCGACAGCAGCCGTCGATGGTATCGTCGATCCGACTGACCACGAAGATTCATACGTTCAGCGCCACGAACTCAATTCAGATGATTGATCCTCACCGCCTACAAGACTATACAGTGAGAGATCAATAGTTTCACAATCGTCCCGCGTGTACATAGTGTTGTGCATCACCATTTGACACATCTAGGTATCTCAAAGAAGCAGTACATAGTGTTTTCCCATTTCGAAAGCCAAGACATCTCATCCGAGCAGAAAAGAGGATGAATCCGGCATTTTCAATACACATGGCTACGGCATACAGCATGGCTACGGCATACAGCAAGGCTACGGCCAAAGGCCGTGAAGCCAATAGTATTTCATACTTAGTGCTGGAGATCAAAAGAAATTTTTGTCTGTTTTGTGTTTGGTTTATTGAACACTTGATCTCCTGCAACATTTGGCTCAAGGCCCCTTTTGTGTATCATAGCAACACTCATGATTGCGTGACAAAAGAACCTTTGCAGGCCGCTTACAGGATTCTCCACAAGACAATCCACCAGGGACAATCCATCCTCCAATCATCCATCGTGGCATATTGGATTCTCTCCGGAATAGATCCAGGGACCAAATCAACGACCTCTACTACCACAAAGGTACCAGTTCCCTTCTGGGATAGGTACCCCGGCAGTGGGCCTCACCCCCCCCCCCCCCCACCACACCAAAAAGCAAGAAGAGACAAAAAAACACGGAAAAATGGAGTTCAAACACAAAAAACACCAAACAATTGAGTTCGTCCCACGGGCGCCTGTGGGCGGTGGTCCAACTACACCTATGTCTAAACATCGTCTACCATTGTATCTAAATCCATGTATCTATCTAACTTGAATCTAATTACAATACTTAATTCTATCAATTGGTCGGTCTATCCCCCTACCCAGCTGTCTACCCGTCTAGCCATTCTATCTAGCATTCTATCTCAAGAACTATCTATCTACCTAACTGCGTACCTATCCACCTACCTATCTACTTGTCTGTCCAATCATCCATGCATCTATCTATCCAATACAAACGATCTATCGGTCTATCCATCCAGCCATATCTAGCTAGCTATCTGTCCATCCAGCCTATCTAGCTATCTATCTATATATCTATCTATCAACCCAACCATATCTAGCCAGATAGCTATCTATCTGCTATTTATCTGTCTGTCTATCTGTCTAACCTCTCTAATTGTATGAGTACTGAGAACGGAGCTCTTGTGCTCTCAAATATTCGATGTATTTTCATGGCCTGGCACGTCACAGTTCGCTTTCGTTGGGGGCAGGGGGGGGCATATTGTGGGGGGAGAATGCCTGTCCCAACGACTTTTGATCAGGGCTTGATGTCAAATGCTTGCCAGCAAGGCCAGAACGCAGTCGTGGCCTTTGCTTCGCACCGCCCCTGCCACCAAGGCACCCCAGCTGACAACGCATCGGCTGGAAACGGCTGCGTGAGCACAAGTGACCAGTTGTTGCGCCGCACTCAAACTCCCTTCCTGAGTGGATTGGCCAACAAGCATAATTAAGGTCCAGGAACTCAGGAAGTGAGCAAGGCCGAACAAATGCCTGCACCAGGATTCTTCAAAGATCCAAAAGCCACCTGCAAACTCTGGAGCTTTGGGTAGAGACCCAAAGAGCTTTCAGCTGTGAAGAGAAAGGACTTTGGAGAACCCTAAAGGCACGCTCGGGACCCGTGGGAAACACCCGGAAGTGCAACGCAGGCTCCCCCCCCACCCTGCCCCCAACAAACAAAGGTTCGACCAGAGCCCTCCTGGGCATGGCGAAGTCCACGGTATCCATCGGCAGCGGAGCGCCTGAGGTTCACCAAGCGAATCTAACCGGCCATCCAACATGGTACTCCAACCATGGGACACCAATCATGGTACACCAACCAAGAAATCAACCTGTGTTTCTGTGACCCATCCAACCAGATGGCGCCCCAACAATATATCATATTCCGATGGAACTTCTCTAGAGGTTTCAATCTAAACTTCCAGACTTGCGGCACTTCATCTCAAGGGAAGGCCTCATATCAGGGAATGATCCCAAGAACCATCCAGCTGGTGGTCCCAAATGACTCATTCCCAAAACACTGACAAATTGATTCCCTTCTGGCCAATCGGCAATTGGCTGCGGACAAGCTTTGTAGTAGTTGGCTGCATCACTGGAAAACTGTATGAACATAGTGACTTGCTGCAACTTTCTGAAAAAGCTTAACTTTTTGCGGGCCCAATTGCAAAATTGTTTCTCAAAGAGTTAAAGACTGAAAAAGCGCATTGCCATGCAATTCAACTCATTGATCTTCTGATGTTCAACCGGAGTGCCTCGCCCAAACCCGCCGTGTCGAGCCTGCCATCCGAAATATGGGATCGATTGGCCTGCGTGCAAGGAAAGAGGTCAAACTGTCCCCCCTACACTCCAGTTGTTCCGTGACCTGTTCCAAAAAAGGAACCCTTCTGGGGTTGATCATTAGTAGTGGGAAAGCCAGATAACAACAAGGGAAATAGGTTGCCACTAAACAACTGGGCTCCATATTCACATTGTTTAGGGTAGGGCTGCAAGCCTTCTTTTAGTCAAGTCTGTGTCGAGTGCAGGGGGTGCTTATCTTCTTGCTGAAATTTGATCCTTTGGTGCGTGTTCTTGTGGGTAATAGCCGGCCAGCTCAGCCAGCGAGCCCTTTTGAGTGAGGTGAGAGAGGCACCTCGATTCAAAGGGCTTCAAATCCCCGATCCAAACCAATACCGGTCCAAAGGGACCTTTATTGAGCAACTTTTCGCAGAGCTGTGGAAAATGACCCTTGCAACAGAAAGACTAACCCCCAATATAACGAGAGATCCTTGTAATACAGAAGTGGGGGTAAAACCATGGAGTTTTAAGAAGTTCCCCACTGGCCTCAGCAATGCCACCGCCAACTGTCTCAGCTCATTGTATCTCACCTGAGGCCCGCCGAGGCTTAGCGAGACACAGCTTCGATGAGAGAAGGGGGCAAGCCGAGCGCCAGATTGCCCTTGTGCCAGACTTGGTCGAGCCATTCCCCGCTTAGCCCTCAAAAGCCAAAATATTTGTTCTTGCGAACTCCGTGCGGCTCAGCATCAGGCCCAAGGCCTTCCAGCTACAAACTGGGTACTGCACCCTTTTCACCTTGGAAACCGGAAGGCCCAAACCAATGAGTGTTGCTTAGTTCCCCGAAGGAAAGCCCGCCAGGGTCAGCATCAACCCTAGGTCCTCCAGTAGAGAGGTTAGAATAAGGGTGCCTTTTATCTGCAGTGTATTTTTGTAGGGGAACCCTCCCAACCAAAAAAAAGAGCAAGGGCACTACTGGCAAAAACCTAGAACCCCTTTCACGGCGGTTTTTCTACTCCAAGGGCTGGCTCACCGCCGCGGGTTCTTTCCTCGGCGCCGGGCCCAGGCCACGTAGCCGAACTGCAGGATGATCATCGCCATGAAGGCGCCGACGCCCACCTCGAGCTCCCGCCACACCCCACTTAGATGGGCCGGTGGCTTACTAACAGGTTAAGTTGATTATGATGTTTAGGCTGTAAATTATAAAGGGTTATAACTAGTTATGCTAAAAGTTATAACTAGTTATAACCCCCAAAAAATGTACGATTTGCAAGTGTTTTTTAAACATGTTTTCATGATTTTTTGATGTGAAAAACAGGCCAGAGGACATGCATAAGAGCCAACACTGGCTTGTATAGTTGCCAGCCACCAAGGCTTTGTTCAGCAGCCTCAAGGCTTCAATTTGCAAATCTTGCGCAAATCAATCTGCACCTGCCACTCCAAGTAGCCATCAGGCTTGGCTGGTGCATGCCCATGCCATGGCATCAAGCAACCAACAGCTGACAAGGGCTCCAGTGCATTTTCACCTGTAAGGCAGTGGTACCAGGGTGGTCATGCCATCTCTGCCTTGGGCATGGGTGACAGCCACCAAAACATCTTGCAAAGGCACTGCTAGCAGTGAAGAGCCATTTGGCTTCCACAAAGCATGGGCCATAGAAGGCCCTGCACTTTCAAATTCAAAGGGTCGCAGGACAGCACATGCCTGCACACCACAAGCTACAAAGCACTCCAACTGCCCACACATCCACTTTGCTTTGGAACTGTGGCTTTGGTACAAAACAACATCGCCAGCACTACAACTTCCAAACTTCAGCCTGGCAGCTTTGCTCGCTGCAAAGTCTTGGCTAAGCATGCCCAAGGGCCAGATCTGTTGGGCAATCCACAAGAGCTTGGCAGGCAAGGCAGTAGGCTTTTCCAGCACATAGCTGGGCAAAAAGACATTGGCCTTGCTCAGTTTGAGAAGCTCATGGCCAACAACGTCTTCCATCACAGCTTGCTCAAAGTAAGCAGTATTCTGCACAGGATTGCTGAATCTGGACAATGTTTTGTTCTTCCTTTCCATGCAGAAGCAGTTGACAATCATACCATGCTGCTTGAAGGCAGAGCTTAGGTGCAGCAGCCAATGGTGCTTTTTCATCATATTGTCTCTCCAGCCAGCTTGAATCCATAGTCTGAGAACTTCTTCAGCTGCATGCTGTATTTGCTGCCAGGAAATTGAAGTGCACCAGGTGGATTGCAGCAGCTCCACCAAATATAGCAAGGAAGCTAGGCACTCAACTTGCTTTATGCATGCCTCCTTGCACACATTTTGGCAAAAATGCACCAGTATGGGGAGGACAGTAAGCAGCTCGGACGCAGTGGAATTGAACTTCATGGACCTCTTGTGCTTTTCCACCCTCTTGGCTTCAAACAAAGGTGCCACCTTGATGTTGCCAAAGCTGGCAGGGAGTGCCCAGCAAGAAGAATAGTTGCCAAATTCCTTCCAGCAGTCCATCTCTTCAAGGATGAAGAAGATACCCAGTGAAATTATGCCATTGGAACACAAACAGTGCATCCAGTCATGAACAAACTGCTTCACAGGGTCCACAACCGACCTGAGCTGAAGACAAGCCAGCATGGCTTCAGGGCTGAAAGATATGCCTGCTGCTTGCTGCCACAACTTCCACTGCTGCTGGTTACTGCAAGCTTGCCTTGCAGCCATCCTATCCCAAGAGCTAAAGATTTCTTGGCTTGTTGCTAGGTCCAGTCTGGAAGCTGAGACAAACTTTGAAACCTCACTGATTCCTTCCTCTTGGTCAGATGTGCTGAATACATTTTTGCACAAGCAGCAAAAGCGAGAACCACTGTCTCCTTTCACTGACCAAACATACTTGTGAGCAGCACCATCTTGGATGAAGAAGGACAAACAGCACCTGAATCTGCTGTGCTGCTTGGCAGAGCTTGGGGGCTCTTGGAGCAAGATGCCATGGCTCTCCACTTCAGCCCATGGGCTTCTGAAGATTGATAAGAGTAGTTGCTTGATGAGCTGGCTCATGTGGCCTGCAAGTTGCTGTACAACTGAAGACCTTACACAGCAGACAGTGACCCAAGCATCTTCAGATTGCAAGTGGTGGTTAAGCTGTTTGATGGAAATGTAAACACACCAGCATTTCCTGCTTGGGTGGTTTGCTAATGGGTTGCCAGGCACAATCTCATCAGTGTACACAAGCAAGCCCAAAGGCTCTGTAATATTGCAGAGCTGCTGATGCAAAGAGCCACCACTCTTGTAGCAGAAGTGCAAGAAGGACAAGAAGTTCAGGTAGCTGATCTTTACAGGGTTGCCTTGCAGGCAAGCAAATTCATCTTGCAGTATCAAAGGTCCATAGGCGTTTGCTTGCCCAAGCAAGTTCCTTGTGGCCTCTCTCATATGCTTGGCACTTGACATGTCTGGAGCCCCTTGCTCCTTGACATGGTCCAAAATGGATGACAGAGCAGACTTGGACACAAAAGGGACTGAGTCCCTCAGGTGGTGCAGCTTTTGCAGCTTTTGGGCTCTGTCTGACATGGCCCCCTACAAAGCAAGGCACAAACTTCATTGCTTTCTTACCATGGGATTTACACTGCTTTATAAGGGCCCTGAAAGGGGTGTGTGCAGCATGGATAGCTTGGGGCCTACAACTGTGCCAAGGGCATGTGCTAGGATGCAGCTTGCTCTATAAACCAAATACAGCCATACTGTCCTTCTAAGCCAACATGCTCTGGCAACTCGGTGCAATGCATGCTACTTGCAGCAGCCAGTGCCATTCATCCAACAGAAAGGCTATTTGCTTGCATGAAAACCCTATAGTGGCATAAACAGCTACACAGCCACAAAGGCTTTGTTTACTCTCATGAAGGCAACTTACAGCCATGAAGGCTTCTCACAGCCACAAGCCTACTTACAGCCATGAAGGCTACTTACAGCATTACCTGCTTTGCAAGGATTAAGGGAAGGCATTTAATCCAGGCCCTGCTGCTTTCTGCCACAAGGATGTAGGCTTCCAGCCACAAGGCTATATGGCCAGCCAAGGAAGGCTGCCAGCCACAAAGGCTGCCTGTAGCAGCCATGAAATCTAGCTGTGTGTAGCCATGCTACCTACAGCTACAAGTTTGGCTTGGCAATCAGTGCAATGCCTATGCTCTCCACAGCAAATTACACAGGGAAGGTGCATGTGTGCAAGCATGGTCTGGCAATGTGCTTTTTCCACACCTGGACGCCCCCATTGGCAGCAAAGCAAGAAGCCAGCTGAGCAGCTTCTTCTTCCCCAGCAACAAGCAACGGGCAACAGCAAGCCTTGCTCAGCAACAAATCTTTGTGACTGCTATGAGGCACAAACTTGCCATGAACAGTGGACTCAAAGCTTGCCATTCTCCCTGGCCCATTGAACCCAAGCTGCCCTTCCAGGCAATTTCAACCCACGAAATCTAGGCTTTCTACAAGTGTCACAGCCATTGCTGGAGCCTCTGCACCTGATACAGCCATAAACAACTTTCTTTGGCCAACCTGAAGAAGCTGATTGCTTCTTTGCACAAGTGGGTTTCGCTTTAGCCTTTTTGGCTGGCTGGCTCTTGGAAGCTGGCCTTTTTAAAAGTTTGCCACCCTTTTTGGATTCAAGCTTCTTGTGTGCATCCAGTTCATAGTCTTCCAAGCTTTTGCCAGGGAGGCTGCCATCAGGTGAGCTTTTTTCTCCAAGCTTTGTAGCTTGGACAAGCAAAGGCTTCTCAGGGACAGAATCCTCCTTTGAGCTGCCTGGCTCTTGGTCACAAACTGCAGGTGGAGCCTTCTGGCTGTAGCTCTTTGGCTGACCATCACTTGGCTTCTGGATCTGGATGTGCACTGGGGCAGATGCATCCATTTCCCTGGCCTTGTGGAAAAGCATTGCCAAGCCATGCATGGCTTGCTCCATGAGGCTTCCAGGATTGGCATCGGTCTTGCCAACAGTGCTCTGAGGGCTTGACAAAGAGCCTGAACTTGGTGTCTTGGACCTCAGCCTTGTCAATTTGCTGCTTGTAGATCTTACACACACCTGCCTGGACAAAGCTACTATTGCAGCTGTGGTCTGGAGATCAATCTGAATAGGCTGGTCATCCACACTGTAGACTGCAGATGTGAAATCCTCAGCTGTTTCAAACAAAGGCATTGTTTATCAAATGGCCTAGCTTCTGCTGGCATGAAAGGCAGCCAAGGCGCAGGGCCAACATCTGTGGGGCGCTGAGGGTAGGTGGCAAGCCCCGCAACCAATGCCTCTTGCCCACAAGCAAGAAAGGAGTCTTTCACATAGATTGCTAGCTGGTAGATTTCACCAGGAGGAGGTACTGGCTTAGACTTGGCAGTCTCCAAGTAGATCAGCATGGACACAATGCCCTTCTTGGTGTCCTCCTTGAGGGACTTGATTCCAGCCTTCCTCATCCTGGCCACAATCACCTGCACTGCCTCCATGGTGCTGACCTGCAACAGTTTTGCCCACTCACTGGTGCTCATGTAGTTCCATGGGGCAGTCATTGACTGCGGTGCACAATTGACCCTCAAAGGGCCAGCTGAAGATTCAGAGCAACTCTTCTCAACTTGAAGCCTTCTGGCAGCTGTGCAGCCTCGATGTTCTTGAACATGGCCAAGGCAAAGGCAGGGCCAGGCTGATGCAAGCTTTGAAGCTTCAAGCACAGCTGGTTGACTAACTCAAGCACCAAGCTTGACTCATTCCTGATTTGGTACAACTGCTCAATGTCACTCAGCTCCTTTGCAAAGTCTCCAATGCTCCAGTGACCCATGGGGCTGGCACTGAAGGAAGCTAGCACAAGCCAAGCCCACAACAAACTACAAATGCACTATGGGTGTCAGTTCAAGCCAAAAAGCCATGGGCTTCAATCATGGCCAGTGCAGTGCATGCTCTACAACAGCCACAAGGCTTCGTGCAACGCCCCAAGACTTGCAAGAGGTGATGAACATGCAGGGCAAGGGCATGCTGCATGGGCACCTGCATGCATGCACACCCTTGACAGCTTCATGGCTTGCTACAGTCAGCTATAGGCTGCAAAGCATGGCAAGAGAGGTGTCAAAAGAATGGCACACTGAAAGCAAGCCAACAACAAGTGGAATGACA